AACCCCCCAAGAAGACTTAGACCCTCAGTACAAAGCCCTAAACCCTAAACCACCCTAGACCCTAAACCCTAAACCCTAACCCTAAACCCTAAACCACCCTAGACCCTAAACCCTAAACCCTAAACCACCCTAAACCCTAAACCCTAAACCCTAAACCCTAAACGCATTGAGGCCCTGCTTCGAGTTCATGGACCTTGAGCAAGCGAAAGCGAAATGCCTGGCTCAAGCCTCGGCGACATCTCCCGAAACCCTAAACCCTAAACCCTAAACCCTAAACCCTAAACCCTAAACCCTAAACCCTAAACCCTAAACCCTAAACCCCTTAACTATAAACCCAAAACCCTCAGCCCTCCGGGGTTTCAGGGTTTGGGGTTTCGGGTTTAGGGTTTAGGGTTTAGGGTTCAGGGTTTAGGGTTTAGGGCTTAGGGCCCTAAACAACCCCTAAACCCGAAACCCTAGAAACCCCATTTAAGCCCCTCAACCCTCCTAAACCCCACAAGCCCCAATAAGCCCGTAAAATGCTGGCAGGCTCGAAGCCCCGAAGCCTTTTTGAGGTGTAGGGCCCGTTGTAGTGGTTCAGAGCCTTCTGCGCATGTTGCGGCCATGGGTCAAAGTCTTTAGGGGTTAGGGTTTAGTAGGGTTTAGGGTTTAGGGTTTCGGGATTAGGGTTGATATTTAGGGAGGTCCTTGCGGGAAGGTCTAGGAACTGCCGGAGGTTGGAGTGTTGGGACAAATTGACCCCCAATCCCTCATCCTTAACCCTAAACCTCTAAACCCTCAACACTAAACCCCTGTCACCCCCTCCCCCCCCCCCACCCCCAACCCCCCAACACCCTAAACTCTAATCTCCCAAGCCCTCAACCCCAAACGCTAAACCCGAAACCCGAAACCCTAAGCCCTTCCTGTTGAAGGTAGTTGCTGAGCTTAATTCTTTCGGAGGCCCCATCCTCCATTCCCATGTAGAGGACGTGGAAGCCGCCCCCCCCTCCCCCCCCCAAAAAAAAAAAGAAGCAAAAACCATCCAACACGCCGCCAGGGTCGGCGGACCCTAAACCCTAAACCCTAAGCCCTATACCCTCAACCCTAAACCGTAAACCTCCTCCACGCCTCCCAGGCTGACGAGGCATGTGATGGCTTCTCCTTCTCCGCCGCCGCGATGTCTGGCGGACGTGGGAGCGGCTGCACCTCGGATCACCGGGAAAGTTCGAAAGTTCACTCTCCCCTACACGTACCCCGGGTTAGGGTTTAGAGGGTCTAGGGTTTAGGGTTTAAAAGTTTAGGGTTTAGGGTTTAGGGTTTAGGGTTTAGGGTTTAGGGTCTTACGTCATCTTCAACCCAAGGGTATGGAAGGTTTGGGGCTTGGGGTATGATCAGAGCTGAGGGTTCTAAGCTCGAGGCCCTGTGAGCTCTGAACCTTTTGAGCTAAACCTTTTACCTTAGGGTTTAGGGTTTAGGGTTTAGGGTTTAGGGTTTAGGGTTTAGGGTTTAGGCTAAATCCTAAACCCCTTCAAGAGGTCTCTTGGAGTAGCTGTCACGTGTCGTTCAGGAGGTCTTTGAGGCCCTCATGAGATAGAGGCTGAGAGGTGTAGAGGGGGGTTTAGGATTTTGGGGTTTAGGGTTTAGGGTTTGGGGTACCAAACAAGCCCAGCAAGCCCTACGTACCCAACAAAGCCCAGTTCAGCCGACAAGCCCAACAGACCCAAGAGACCCTGAACTCTAAACTTCCCCAGCCTACACTTCGTAAGCCTATACTTAGCAGCTGAATGAGTACACTTTACACTTTTGGGGATACGACAATCTCCTATAGAATTGAAAGTGTGCACTTTTTGCGGGGCTTATGTCTCAACCCTAAACCCCAAAGCCTGAATACAAAACCCTCAGTCGCCTAAAGCGAGGCTTTAAGACGTACTGTGCCCCCATGATCGGTGGTGATGGGGACGCCCGCCCTATGGCCGATGAGAACTCCACCGCTCTTTGGCTGGACTTTGCATTGTTTAGGGTTTTGGGTTTATAGGGTTTCCAGGTTCAGGGTTGTAGGGTCTGGGGCTTAGGGCTTGGGGCTTAGGGCTTAGGGCTTGGGGCTTAGGGCTTAGGGCTTAGGGCTTAGGGCTTGGGGCTCGGGGCTTAGGGCTTGGGGCTTCGGGCTTTGGGCTTAGGGCTTAGGGTCCCGAGAGCACATTCATGGCGGGAACCCTAAACCCTAAACTCTGGGGTTTAGGGCCAAGCCGGCCCAGGAACGTCCGACGTCGACGTGGTATGTGCCTTTTGGCCGGGGGAGCCACGGAACTCCGGTCGGCACTTCAGGTGTCGGTTCGTTCAAAAATCCTCAAGCAGGTGTAGCGGGACCCGATGAGACGGAAGACTCAACAAACAGTTTGGGGGTTAGGGTTTAGATTCTCAGGGTGTAGGTTTCAGGATTTCCAAGTCCCTAGGGAGGCTCCATCAGATTACGAAGATCGGATCTATGCAGGACCCACAATATTCCGTACATCAGGCGTTCTTCACACCCCTTCAAATAACAGGTGGGGGGGAGACAGGGTGTAAGGGTGTCAAGGCCCTATAAACGTAAACCCCAAAATCCTCAACCTAAACCCTATGCACACAGTAAAATTCTTTAAACCCTCAACCTTGAGCTATCTAAGCTCCAACAAGCCTCCTATACCCGAGGCCCGAAAAGCACTAATCCTTGAACTCACACCCTGCACCCTGAGCCCTGAAACCTGACTTTATCAACCCTAAACCCTAAACCCTGCACCCTATAAACCCGAAACCCCAAACCCCTTTAGACCCGATAAACCCCAAACCCTAAACCCGAAACCCTAAACCCTAAACCCTAAACCCCAAACCCCAAACCCTAAACCCTAAACCCTAAAACCCTAAACCCCACACCCTAAACGCTAAACCCCAAACCCTAAACCCTAAAACCCTAAACCCCAAACCCCAAACGCCAAACCTTAAACCCTAAACCCCAAACCCCAAACCCCAAACCCTAAACCCTACCCCCCAAACCCCTCTCTAACGACTGAGGATACTGGGCCAAGCGGCGTCGGAACCCTCCCCCAGAACCGCAGCGGGCCACCCTGGTGACCAAGCCGGTCCTCTGGCTCCTGTCTGGGGGTTTAGGGTTTAGGGTTTAGGGTTTATAGGGTTTAGGGTTTAGGGTTTAGGGTTTAGGGTTTGGGGGTACCCTCGCCCTATACTTAGGAGGTTCAGGTACTTACAACCCATTTTTAAGTGTAGCTATAACCCACTTATAAGCCCCTTAAGTGCCCTAATAGGGCTGCTATTGGGCTATAAGTACAGATATATTTGGATTACTACGTAGCCTGACCCTCCAAGTAGGGGTTTGTGGTGTAGGGTTTGGGGGGTTCGGGGTTTAGGGCTTGGGGTTCGGGGTTTAGGGTTTGGGGCTTGGGGCTTGAGGTTTGTGGGGTTTGGGGTTTATACGGGTTTGAGGTTCAGGGGGTTATAGGGTTCATAAGGTTTAAATGGTTTATGGTGTTTGGGGGACTTAGGGGGCCTGATGGGGCTAAGGGGGTATTCTCGGGCTTCTTAGGGCTGCGGGGTTTATGGGGTTGTAGGGTTCTATGTGGGGTTTAGGGATTATGGGGATTGGGAGTGTATATTTAGGGTTTAGGGCTCAAGGTTTGTCTAAGGGTAGTTACATGGGCTTTTAATGTGGTCCATTACCCAATTCAAAGGGTTCTGATGTAAGGGCCCATACTAATGGCCGTGCAAGGGGTTCGTGGTTTAGGGTTTGGGTGGTGGGGTTGAGGGTGGACACTTTCTTTTTCTTGTTTTGTTTTTTGGGGGTTTCCCCTACTCCCCTTCATACTACCCCCCCCCCCCCCCCATAGATTAGGCTATTTAGGGATTGTTAAGCCTGATTAATGTGATTTCAAGGGGGGAACTTGGGGGGGGGGGGGATAGTATAGAGGGGGGCAGTAGGGAAACCCATGAGGGTTGGGTTGGGTCACTTTGAGTTACGGTCGCTTGCAGCCGTTGCTCTTTTACTGGGAAGGCCAGGCCTGCGTTTGTTTAGGGTTTAGGGTTTAGTCGAGGACATTGAGGGATCAATGGAGCTTTGGAGGCTTTTAGGGTTTAGGGTTTAGTCAACCCTAAATCCTAAACCCTAAACTCTAACCAGAAATCCGAGCCTCTGAGGCATTCCCGGCCCCGCCGCAGCACCTGTGAGTGCGCGCGGGAGCGCGAGAACGCAGGGCTCAGGGTTCTGCAGGTTTAGGGTTTAGGGTTTAGGATTTATTAGGGTTTAGGATGGTTTAGGGCTTAGGATGGTTTAGGGTTTGGGGTTACTAGGGTTTTCGGGTTTTAGGCTGTAGGTGTTGGGCCCCGAAACTCAACCCCCAGCGGGCTATCTTTCTTGACAGTAAGAGGAAGCTCGGACCTTACACTAAACTCAACACTGTACACCCAATACGTCCCCCAAACCCCAAGCTCCCAGGGTTTGCGTTCGATACTCCGACGAAGCCGCGAACCTCGAATGAGGGATCAGTGGAAAAAGGCTGCGCTCCCGCTTGCACATCGGCCAAAGCCCACACGTCCGAAGCACACGGTGTTGGTTTTTTTTGGGAGTAGGGTTTAGGGGTCAGTGTGCTCAGAAAGAAGAGGATGTACGTTTTGCTGCACAGGCATTGCCAACTTAATTTCCTACTTGTGGCATAAACCCTAACCCGCCGCTCTCGCTCTAGAAGCCCACGTGACTTTGAAGGGCTTGAATTCGTGACTAGAGGCCACCATAAACCCTAACCCCTAAACCCTGAACCCTTAACCCTGAAGCCTAAACCAAAACGCCCACATCATACCTCAAGCACCACCTGAAGAGCCCACAACCTACTTTGTGTTTGTAGGTCATTACCCTTTCTGGGATTCTTAGGGAAGCAACCTACAGAAAAGTATGTTTGAAGTTCTTGAGATGAACCCTACAAAGCCCTGAGCCGACCTCATCCCTTCACGTAGAGGATGCTTTCATTGCAGCGCAGGCACTCTGGCGCCGACGCCAGCAGGGGAGCCCTGTGTAGCTTCTTGCGGGCTGGGCTTCGGGACCCCTAAGGGCCCATGTTTAGGGTTTAGGGTTTAGGGTTTAGGGTTTAGGGTTTAGGTTGCCATACACTTGGGTTCTAAAGTCTCTATATAGGAGGCACTTTAAGGCCCAAGTCTACCCGGTTTAGGTACATGGACCCTTATAGGGGAATAGTCAATCCACAACACATAGTGCAAACTCCCCCAAAACCAGGCGGGCCGAAAACCCGAGGCCCAAACTGAGCCACCCGCCACTCGCTGGATTGGCTCCTGTGGTAGCTGGCTTCATTAGGGTTTAAGGTTGAGGGTTTGGGGTTTAGGGTAAGCTTCGTCAGTCACCACGAATGCACTTCTGTATAAGTTTAAGGCTCCCGCGATGGCCTCTGCAATGCCTGCGCACAACACGACACAGACAGACAGAGCCACACAACCCTTAGCCGACCGATACTACACCTTGGGATGTTCCCCCCTATACGAACAGTCCTTACTGGGGACTATAATAAGGGGGCTACCATAATCCCTATTCAGGACTGTTAGTATAAGGGGAAGCATCCCAAACCATGCATCCCAATGAATCCCAAAGCTGAATCCAAAGACCCCCAAACCCTCAAAGCCGCAAACCCTCAAACAATAAAACCCTAGAGCCCTAGAACCCTAGAACCCGAGAACTCTAAACCCTACACCCTGGAACCCTAGAACCCTAGAACCCTAGAAACCTAGATTCCTAGAACCCTAGAACCCTAGAACCCTAGAACCCTAGAACCCTAGAACTCTAGAACCCTAGAACCCTAAACCCTAGAAACATAGAGCCCTAGAACCCTATACCCTAAACACTCGAAACCTAGAACCCTGCACCCTAAACCCTGAACCCTACAAACCTAGAACCCTGCACCCTAAACCCCAAACCCTCAGAACCTAGAACCCTGCACCCCAAACCCTAAACCCTAAACCCTCCCTAAACCCTAAACCCTAAACACCTAGAACCCTGCACCCTAAACCTTAAACCCTAAACCCTAAACCCTAAACCCTAAACCCTAAACCCTAAACCCTAAACACTTAGAACCCTGCACCCTAAACCTTAAACCCTAAACCCTAAACCCTAAGCCCTAACCCCGAAACCCTAAACCCTAACATCCGGACCCAAGGCGCCCCACCGCCGTGGTTGGGCAACGGCCCGCGAGGCTCCGAGTTGAAGGCTTAGGGTTTAGGGTTTAGGGTTTAGGGTTTAGGGTTTAGGGTTTAGGGTTTAGGGTTAGGGTTAGGGTTTACGGTTTGGGACTTAGGGTTTAGGAGGTTTTTAGGATTTCACGGCTTTCGGGTTTAACCCCTGGCTTGAGGGTGTAGGGTCTATTGGATCTTGAGTATTTCAGGATTTGGGAGTCAGAGTTTTGGGCTTTTGTAAGGGCTCTTTGTGGCGTTCACAAAAGGGTTTTAGAGTTTTATGGTTTGGTGTTTGCACCTTTTCTCTGTTATTTCTTAGATGGCGTGTAGGTTTGGGGCGTTCAGGGTTTCGGTTGCAGCGGTTTTGGACTCAAGGCGCTGGAGACTGACATTGGTGGAAGGTCTGATCAGATCTGTGGTTCTCTTTGGGGCATCTTATGCAAGGACCATCTATGGTATATACGAAGATGTCTATCGGTCCCCCTGAACCCGCCCCAGTAAAGAGGGTCATTGCTCGGATGACGAGCCCCTTCTAGTGACCCGAAACCCTAAGTCTTAATGTTTCGCGTTTGGGGGCATACTGGGATTCGGGCGTGGGATTTACAATTTCAATAGGGTTGGGCCTTCAAGGGCATCGACAAAGTTAAGCGGCTTTTCGGGATTCTGGGAGGTTTAGGGTTTAGGGTTGAGGTTTGAGGGTTTAGGGTTTAGGGTTGAGGGTACCCTGAACCTCAAAACCTCCGGCCTCTAAGCCCCAACAGCCTGACCCACCCGCCCCCATCCCAGAACCCGCAACCCTAAACCCGAAAGCCCTCAAAACCCTAAACCCTAAACCCCCAAACCCTAAACACGGAAAACCCGACAAACCTGCGAAACCCGACATAAACCTCAAACCCTGAACCCTGAACCCTGAACCCTAAACCCTAAACCCTAAACCCTAAACCATCCTAAACCCTAAACCCTAAACCCTAAACCCTAAACCCTAAAACCCTAAAACCCTAAAACCCTAAAACCCTAAAACCCTAAAACCCTAAAACCCTAAAACCCTAAAACCCTAAAACCCTAAAACCCTAAAACCCTAGAACCCTAAAACCCTAAAACCCTAAAACCCTAAACCCTAAACCCTAAACGCGCCAACGTCTCGTTAGAGCCAAGTCATAGGACCTGACCGTGGCGGCTTCGAGAAGAGGGCCGAGGCACTGAAGCCTCCGCAACGCAAGGGTGAAGGGGGTTTAGGGTTTAGGGTTTAGGGTTTAGGGCTAGCGTTTAGGGTTTAGGGTTTAGGGTTTTAGGGTTCAGGGTTTTGGGTTTAGGGCTAGGGTTTAGGGTTTCGGGTTTAGGGTTTAGGGTTTCGGGTTTAGGGCTTAGGGTCTAGGGTTTTGGGGCTTAGGATTTAGGGTTTACGGTTGAGGGCTTAGGTTATTGGGTTTAGGTTTTTTTTGGTTTTGGGGCTTTAGGGGCGGTAGGGGCGGCAGGGCCTAGTCATTTTAGGCTTTATTTGTTTTGGGGCTTTAGGGGTTTTAGGGTTTAGGGCTTAGGGCTGTAGGGGCTCGAGGGGCTGCATGGGCCTAAACCCTAAACCCTAAACCCTAAACCCTAAACCCTAAACTTTAAACCCTAGGGGGGTGTATGGGCTGTGGGGGTGTTGAGGCTTTGGGGGTTCAAGCGTGCGGAGCATTACGGGGCCAAGGTGTCGGGTTTATTGGTTTCAGGGCTTCAGGGGCGCCAAGGGTTTTGGGGTTGAGGGTTTTTTTTTTTCGGGGCTTTCGGGGTTTTAGGGCTTAGGGCCAACGTTTCCTCAAGGGAGACCTGCAGGTCAGTGCTTGGAAGCATGAAGTACTTGGAGGTTCATGGTATTTACTTATAACTGTACTCAGAACCGCAATTAAAACCCTCTTAGGGCACTTAGTGGGCTGATAAGTGGGTTAATACCACACTTGTAATGGGGGGTTATAGGCACCCTGAACCCCCGAGGTAGACTTACTAGGAGCTTCTAAATACACCCTTCGCACCCTCCTAAGATGTAGTTGGGGAGCTCACACGTTTTTTTTTCAAGTCAAGTTCGACTCATCAGGGCATGAAAGGCACCTCCACACCTACGGGTTCAGGGTTTAGGGTTTAGGGTTTAGGGTTTAGGGTTTAGGGTTTAGGGTTTAGGGTTTAGGGTTTAGGGTAGGGCAAATCTTCAAGTCACTTGCTTCAGGGTCTGCAATGGAGTCTTGCCTAAAAACCCAAAACCCAAAACTTTTTGGTGAAGAGAAGCAGATCAGAGGCCTCTGCCTTACCCCCCCCCCCCCCCCCCCCTCCGTCCCCGGGCGTCCCCTCTGTTTTCCACACGTTGAAAACACTAGGCCCCCAACCTACCCTGCACTTCAGGTTAGGGTTTATATACAGGGTTCAGGTGCAGGGTTTTGGGGTATGTGGGCTTTAAGTGACGGGCGGTCTGCCGGAACCCTGGGAACGGGGATCCTATACTACTGCCCAACGCGGAACTCAGGGGATGTTTGTGGCCTCATTTTGTGCGGTTTAGGCTCTACCTGGAGGTTCATGGGACTTAATAACCACTTAGAACTGGGCTTATAATCCTACTTATAATAGGGATAACTCCTATAAGGCCCTTTAGGGGTATTATAAGTGGGGCTATAAGTACAGTTATAATTGGTTAGTAAGTACCATGAACTTCAAGTAGGGTTGAGGGTTTAGGGTGCGCCCACCCAAGAATCGAAGTCCCCTTGTTCGCCCGCTTCTCTCTTTCCCGCAGCACAGCCGCTCAAGACTCACTGCTGTTTGTCCGCGAGGGTGACTCAAGCGAACTTGCTAGAGGCCTTCCGGTGCAGGGCCTGTGGGGGTTCAGGGGTTCAGGGGTTCAGGGTCTGGGGTTTAGGGTGCTTCCCCAAGCTGGAACATGCAAAGCTGGGTATCAGTTTGGCATGGTTTGTCATGCCTATAAAAGGTGTTGGGACCCTCAACCGCAGGGTTTCGGGAGACTGAGCCCTTTGCAAAAAGAGCCCCACGCCTGCAAAACTATCATCTGGCACACTGACCCTACACCCAAAACCCTAAACCACCCTATCAGGTAGAATATACATGCTAATGCCTTCGTGAAGGGGGTCATGTCTCACTAGTGGGCAAGGTCATAGAAAGAGCGGGCAAGGTCATATGCAAAGCGGGCAAGGTCATAGGAAGAGTTTTCCAAAACCCTAAACCCTGAACCCTAAACCCTAAACCCTGAACCCTAGAGGGGCCGGGGAGACCCTCTTTTTCCGAGGCTCCCGGGTGTGCCCCCGAACAGCCCATATTAGGAAGCATCTCATAGGTAAAGCGAAAGAACTTGAAGCGGGCGCTTTAAGGATCAGGGTTTAGGGCCCCTAGGGTCTGGAGCCTAAGGTTTACAGAATTTGGGGACCTTCGTGCAAGTATCCGAAGAGCCCGGAACCTAAACCCTGAACCCTAAACCCTAAACCCTAAACCCTAAGAGCCAGGAACCATGCACACCGAGATGCAGATCACCTTTGTGGCCAGCCGGGGATCCACTGAAGTCCGAATGTTGCAAAGCAAGGCAGGGGCGCCTCCCCCCGGCTTGGGGTTTAGGGTTTAGGGTCTTGGGTCTTGGGTCTTGGGTCTTGGGTTTTGGGTTTTGGGTTTTGGGTTTTGGGGGGTAAAAGCCTAAACCCTCAAATTCCCAACCCCTAAATCTCCAATATCCTAAATGCCTCAGCCCTTAAGCCCCCAAATCCTCAAACTTTGAACCCGAGAGAGCTCAAGAAGTCCCGCACCCCCGGCCCAAGGGAACTGTTCAGAATTTGGTTAGGCTTTTTAAGGTTCAGGGCTTGGGGTTTCCAAGCATACGCGCACACTGGCAAGGCTATTGGATTCGGTGGATGTGTTTCTTTGACCCAAAGACAAGGCTTAGGGTTCAGGGTTTAGGGTTCAGGGTTTAGGGTTTAGGGTTCAGGGCTCAGGGTCCGGTGTTTAGGGGGTACCCTAAACCCTAAACCCTAAACCTTAAACCCTAAACCCTAAACCCTAAACCCTAAACCCTGAACCCTGAACCCTGAACCCTGAACCCTAAAGCCTAACCCTAAACCCTAAACCCTATTCTCTTGAACCACTGAAGAGGGTGAACCTCGGAGGTTCAGCGGATTCTCGATGCAGCGATCGAAGCCGTCGTGAACGCGCCTTGTAAGGCCAGTGGTTCTCTGGGGTTCCAGGTGCGAGGGTGTCGGGGTTCTAGGGTTCTAGGGTTTAGGGTTTGGGGTTTAGGGTTTAGGGTTTAGGGTTTAGGGTCTAAGCCCTAAACCCTAAGTTCTCAATGAGGTTGCGTCTGGCGGGTGGGGGATCGGCATCCTGCATATGGTTTAGGGTTTAGGGTTTAGGGTTTAGGGTCTAGGGTCTAGGGTCTAGGGTCTAGGGTTTAGGGTTTAGGGTTAGGGTTTAGGGTTAGAAGCCAGCCGGAGTCCAGACCGCCTATCCCATTCCTCCCGCTCTCGCGGTTGATTGATGGTTTAGGGTTAGGTTTTTAGGGTTTAGGGTTTAGGGTTCAGGGTTTAGGGTTTAGGGTTTAGGGGTTAGGTTTTAGGCGTCAATGCATTCCTGCTCTAAGGTAAACTCGAGCTTCCAGACGAAGCCCCATAAGGATGAGTAGGAGCTTAGTAGTCCATGACTGGCGTCCAACCCCTAGATACCCCCCCGCCCAAGTTCTTAGATACGTGTGGGGGCTTGGGGCAACCCAGCAACCCTAAACCCTAAACCCTAAACTATGAAGTAGCGGAGGCCAGGTGCCTGTGCCGGGTCGAGGCATACAAAGCCCTGCCCCCTAAACACACAGAGCCCTGAACCCCGAAACCCTGAACTTTCTGAACATCCCAAACCCTAAACCCTGAGCTCTAGACCCAAAGAGGACCCAAGCCTCTCAAACCTAAGAGGAATACCCTAAACCCTAAACCCTAAACCCTAAACCCTAAACCCTAAACCCTAAACAGTTTCCCTGACCTCCTGTCCAGGCACTCCGCCGTCGCGTGGGGCAGCTGGGATCTTTATTGGGGACGAAAGGAGGGAGGGACCCAGAGCAGCCCCCTTGGAGGTTCAGGGTTTAGGGTTGAGTGTTTAGGGTTTAGGGTTTAGGGTTAGAAACCCAATCATAAGCGTAGTTGTAACCCACTTCTAAGCTCCTTGAGTAATGCAAATAGGTTCATAATTGGGTCACAAGTACAGATATAATGGGGTTACTAAGTACCCTGAACTGAACCTCTAAGCTGCCGGGAAGAAAAAGGGTTTGGGGGGAAATGGTTTAGGGTTTATAGGGTTTAGGGTTGAGGGCTGCAAGAGTTGGGAGGCAGGGTTTCAGGGTTTACGCTCGAGGGTTGCGGGTTTCAGTCTTTAGAGTTTCAAGTTTTCAGAGTGCAAGCTTTTCAGGGTTTAGGGTTGAGGGGGTTCACATTCTTAGCCATTCTGAGAAAGCCTCAGAAAGCAATCCCCCCAAAACCCCCAAGCCTGAAAGCCCCCCCAAAAGTGTAAGCACCTCAACCCTCTAACCCCGGCCACGTAACTTGGGTGATTTGGAACATTTCCTCGTCGCAGACTTGCCCCGTAAACCCGAAACCCTAGCCCAGAGGGTCCATTTGTAGTACCATTATGGAATTAGGTACCCAAAACCTTATTTAGTATGGTTTTTGGGTACCTAAATCCATAATAGTAATACAAATGGACCCTCTGGGTAACCCTAAACCCTACATTCGCTGTCCTTTGCTGGCTGCGGCGACGAAGTCGTGGCAACCCTCCGATGCCGCAGGCTCCTCCACTGGCGTCCATGCCCCTGGTTTTTTAGTAGGGAATGGGGAATGAGGTACCTCTATATACCACGGTTTAGGGTTTAGGGTTTAGGGTTTAGGGTTTAGGGTTTAGGGTTTAGGGTTTAGGGTTTAGGGTTTAGGGTTTAGGGTTTAGGGTACCTCATTCCCTTATTCCCTACTAAGAACCAGCCAGGCCAGGTCAGAGTGTGCCTCATTCTGGGGCATCGCAGCCATCGCTGGGAGCTTGTGTGGGTGCGAGCTCACGTTCGGCTGCAGACCCAATGAAAAAGCCAATAAAACCAAACCCTCGAATCCCAAACCCTAAACACTAAACCCTAAACCCTAAACCCTAAACCCTAAACCCGAAACCCTAAACCCTAAACCCTAAACCCTAAACCCGAAAC